AATCTGCAATGCCTCACAGAGCATTATAAAACAGCAGAAGGGTGAGAAATATTACCATAATAATCAAAGCATAAAATCATGTATATATAGGTATCATATGATTAACTTCCTATTTCTCACCACAATTCGACTCATAGTCATTTACATCGTCACTTATATTTATATACAACATGAATATTCACCAAGCATTTTACATCATGCATACATCCACAATTCCACAATCTTAACATTCACACGTAAGCATCTTTTCATGCACGCTTCATAAGTATTCAACAAACATCTCATCATTCACACATAAGCATCACTTCATGCATATGTCATATATCAATGTGGCTCAACAACTCAATGCAACTCATGCAATGCGGTACCGACTTACGTTATCTTTTTTCAGTTTTTACATTAAACCGGGTCCACACTTCTAGACCGATAACCCGTTATCTTTTTTCGGTTTTTACATTAAACCGGGTCCACACTTCTAGACCTATAACCACAAAGGCCCGTCCTCTAAGCCTTCAAACCCACACTTCTAGGTTTGGGACAAACCACTAGTTTCCACGAAACTAACAGACATTGCCTCTTGACTAAATGATGCATGTACAATCAATCGCAACAAATACACTTAAGACCGACATCTTAATCTCATGCATTTACATAATTCATCACTTCAAGAATTACTTTATGATTGCACACACAACATATTCACATAACATTCATCGATGTATTCATAATTCAACACTATCACCACCTTATCACTCACAATGCACACATATCCATTATATGTTCTCATGCATTCTTCACAGTTATCAAACAATGCACACATATCCACGATATGTTCTCATGCATTATTCACATTTAATCACATACATACAATATGCATTTACAACATCTATCAAGCAATGCACACATATCAATGACATGTTCTCATGCATTCTATTCATACCACCATATACCAACAATATACATTCACAATTCAATATCATCACCGCATTATCAACAATGCACACATATCCACAATATGTTCTCATGCATTATCCACATATATTCACAATTCAATACAACATCATATTTAGCAAGCAACGCACGCATATCCATCATTATGCTCTTATGCATTCTTCATGTATTTTAACATACAATCGCATATGAACAATATGCATCCACAACACATTTTTCATAGTATGTTTATTCTTTATCTCATGCCATCTCATACAAGGTATACACGTCACAGTACTATTTATACAATTATAAGTCATGCACACATATCCACCATGTTCTCATGCATACTCATCACATAATTGTATACACATCAAGCATTCGCAAGTTCATTAGACAATACACATACATTCATCATTGTATTCACATGCATTCCTATTTATCATAATTAATACGCATCGCACATCAACTAGGATTCACGCCCGTAGGCTACCCACAGTACACATCATCACAATAGATCATACCTATATCATATCATAGAGGTATTAACCTATGAGAAGCAACCAAACCATCTTCACATGAACAACACAGCAAAAGAAAAATGCTGTCACATTCGCCTTCATTCGCCTGGCGAACCCTCGCAGCGAACCTTCGCCTGGCCTTCTCCTGGCGAACTCTCTCAGCGAGCACTCGCTAGGCTTCGCCTGGCGAGACTTCCCAGCGAGCCCAAGTCAGTAGCTACTGACTTCATTCGCCACCATTCGCCAGCACCTTCGCTGGGCGAACCTTCGCTATCCACCTTCGCTGGGCGAACCTTCGCTATCCACCTTCGCTGGGCGAACCTTCGCTATCCACCTTCGCTTGGCGAACTCGCCAGCAAAGTCCACTGGGACTTAATCATAATTACTCGCCAGCATTCGCTAGGCTTCGCCTGGCGAAGCTTCGCCTTCGCTCGCCTGGCGAGAGCCAGCGAACCTGCGCAGAACAGAATTTCACTCTGTCTTCTCCTTCCCAATCCACCATCAACCAAACCTCAAACATCCAAATCAGTACAAATAACATCAATACATGTTACCCGACTATCCTACGGTGTTATTGCTCAGTTTCAACCGATTAAATCCTTGATCTACCGATTAATCCAACTTTTGCCCTAAATAGAAAGTGATGAAAAACATCCACAACCCAAACCCAACATACATAATAGCATACAATGATTAAATAGCAATGTTTCTCACCCTTACCTCGATTAATCGGAGCTTCGAAATCGGTTCTTGAAGATTCTCCAAGCTTTTCCCTTTTCCTCTTCATTTCTCCTCTTCTTCTTCCTTTCTCTTTTCTTTCTTTCTTTCTATCTTTTCTCTTTCTCTCCAATCCCCTTTTTATATCCTTTTATTTCTTTTCTTATTTCCTTCCTCTCTATTATTTTCTTTCCATTCCATTTCCTCCATAATATCTTTCTCTTTATTTCTTTCCAATATATTTACTCTCTCAAAACATCTATCAATCCATTAACAAACATCTAATTATTCAAATAATTAGAATAATCCAAATAAATCAATTAATTAACACAATTAATCAATTATTAAAAATTGGGCTGTTACAATTTGCATATTAATAATATTTTTAATATTAATTAAAATAAATATTTCAATTTGCATGTCATAAAAAAATTACAATTTGCATATTCTTAATAATAATTAAAAAATATTTATAGCAATTTATAAACTAAAACTCATTTTATTATTTAATTTTTAATAAAAATACTAATTAGATCGGAATATTGTAAAGGTAAGAATTACAAATAAGAATAACGGTTTATAATCAACTTTTTCATTTTGAACCATTTTAGTTTTTCACATTTAAAGTACTACATTTTTTTATTATATTTGGTGGTTATATGTGGAAAAAAATCCTATATCATTTTGAAAATGAATGAAAATATTATTATCATATATTGAATATTGACATGTTTTAAAATTTATATAAACAAATATTTTCTAAACTTTTTATGTTTTAAAATTTATATAAACAAATATTTTCTAAACTTTTTATTAATATAAAATTTTATAGACAAGGTAAACTTTTTTATATGATCTCTACTTTACCACCATAGGTAAACAAGATACATTAAATATTATGATTTAGAGTTCATAAATATTGAAATCGTGAAAGTGAAAGTTCCTAAATATTTGAGTTATAACAGTTAAGCCTACTGTTTTGTCTTAAAAGTTTATAATTCGAGAAAATCACGTTATGAACTAATTTTTAGAATTTAAATATAATAATTACTTTTTTTTTCAAATTAAATATAGTTTAAAATTTTTGCACGCAAATTATTAAAACTAATAAAATGCGTGCGATATATTTTTAGAAATAATAAAATTAATTAATATGAACCAAGGTATAATAATTTTTATTATTAGTATCACACATTTATAAAAAAATATATATATGTAAATTTAGCACCGAAAACATATTTATATAAAAACAATAAAAAAAAAGATAAAATTTATTTTTGCAAATGAAATTAAAAAGTCAAAAAATAATCCGAATCAATTGTTAAAAAGAATATAATATAACAAATATAAAAATTTAGTTTAATTTACTTTTTCTCTAACAACTTTTTAATGAAAGTAAACCAAACCCCATTTATTATAGGAAGAAATTTGGAGTCATATTTCATAGATTTTATTAAATAATTTTTTTTAAATCTTTTACCATCTTTACCAGTAATTTTTTTTCCTTCTCCGGTCTCATCCTCCTTGCACAGGTTCCTCCCACATCCATCCTCTAGATTTCAAATTTCAAAAGAATAACTGACTTTCTTCATTCTTATCCCCTTATTCCTTCTCCATCAACCTATCTTTTTCGTATTCGTTGCATGGGTTCTTCCTCCACACTCCGCAATCACCATATTAACAAAATTTTATGTTTTTCTTTCATTCTCTTTGACCTCTTTCTCTCCTCCTTCTAAACTTTCAACCTCCTTCATACACTTTGTTCGTATTCGTTGAGGAGTGCGGAGGAAGCGTTGAGGAGAGAGAGGAGAGAAAGAGGTCAAGATAATGAAAGAGGAAGCGTTGAGGAGTGCAGAGGAAGAACACATACGAAAAAGACATGTTGATGGAGAAGGAACAACGAGATAAGGTTCAAGAAACTTAGTTATCCCTTTGAAATATGGAGGATGAGGATGGATGTGGGAGGAACATGTGGATGGATGATGAGACTGGAGAAGGAAAAAAAAAAACGTGTCAGACTGATACCATATTATTTTTATAAAAAATCAGAATCAAAATTTATTTTATTCATTGTAAAAATGTTAATTATAAATAGTCAGTGATCCATTAAATATAAAACCGAACAAAACTCTAAAATCAAGTGAAATATGACTCATTGAAAATTTCTGTCTACTTTCATCGATCATCACAGTAAGTTGAAAGTACTATTTATATTATAACAAATAATTTATTACAAAATAAATATTTTGAATTATGAAAAATATTGTTTTAACTTGGATATTTAACCTACATTAATAATTAATTTGGTGCAAATTGCTTATAAAAAAAAAATTAAATCACCTGTTTTTTTTGACACATTTTCTATTATTTATTTAATCTGCCAATAATTTGTTCTTATCTTATTTTATAACAGTCACTGTAGTGTTTGAAACCACAAGGTGGAGTCGCACTCAACTCTCCGAAAACCCAACCAAACTAACTCGTCGCCGGCCAGAGACAATCCGGCAGTCGTCAGGTTCAATTTTCCCCTCTCCCAGCACGCCATGCAAGAGCATTGCTACGGCGCGCGATTACTTTTGTCTGATTCAAAAATAAATATCATTGTATTTTCACTAAATTCATTCACATTTTTGATTCAATCTATAGTAAAACACACCCATAGTTGATTCAGTAGCAATTCCAATCCAATTTATGGTGGTGATATATTTCATTTCATACCCTAGTTAAAATTTTAGGTTAGGTATTTATTTTTCATAAAGATTCATTTTCTCAATCTAATGTAATAACATTTGTGTGTTTTTAGTAGAATTGGGAGGAAAGGTGGTTTTTTTTATGGCCATTGCATTTAAATCGTCTTGCTTCTTGCAATTGAACAAACCCGAGAGCTGTTTCCGGGTCAGTTTTTCCACCCAGAAAACTATAGTTTCAGTAAAAAGATACACTCCGGTGGCTGCTATCAAGACCATGGAAACAGTTGGACTCTCTGAAACATTCAAAAGGCTGAAGGAACAAGGAAAAGTGAGTGCTTATAGTAATGTGATTTTACCCTAGTTGGGTTCTCTTCGATTTGCATGTACTTTGCTTATTGTTTTAATTAGTCCATTTTCAATGCTTATAATAGATTAGTAACTATGGGTATAGTTTTATAGATACTTTGTACAATGCCAATTTAATTTATTGCATAGAGATGAATGGATCGGAATACTGTTAATTCTTGAATTGAAGTGATTATTTTCTAAGAAGGATATATGTTTGTGTGAAGGTGGCTTTAATCCCATACGTCACAGCTGGTGATCCCGATCTTTTGACCACATCAGAAGCACTCAAAGTGCTTGATTCATGTGGATGTGACATTATTGAGCTCGGTGTTCCTTACTCTGATCCTTTGGCAGATGGTCCTGTTATTCAGGTTTGATTCTTCTTCCTATTTGAACGATATTTAGTACTGTCTTATTTGCAAATCAAACTCATGTGTGTTTCTGTTCAGGCTGCTGCTACACGAGCTTTAGCCAGGGGGACTAATTTTGATTCGATTATTGCTATGCTGAAGGAGGTAACTTGATGAAATGTTTTCCATTTATTAATGATCACTGTCATAAACTACTAGGAGGTGGATATGCTTCAAATACTGATTTTTGTTCGCAGATCATTTGCTATTCTTTCCTCTCATTTTCTTAATTTGACATTTTAGCTGTATAAATATCAAAATTTGCCAATTTGTTACGAAGATTGAACCACTGATGTTTGTTCTTGTAGTTGAAGTGGAAAGACTCACTTTTAAGCCCTCACCCTTATAGGGAAAATTACTTGAAACAAACCTACTTTTGCAAAAAGTAATGATGCACTTGTGCCTCGTAAACATATATAAATTGCATCAGTTTTTGTAATATAAGATAGTAGATAGATAGATAATTAATACCCAATACTTATGTTAAACTTTAACGATAGTTTCTTTTGTCCGAATTTCATCTGTTTATTTCATTCCATTCATCACATTTGAACTCTCAATACCATGATGTGTTCCACCATTTTGAACAGTTAGCAGGATATTCTGTGTGTGCATTATTATCTAGTTAAAACTATTATTCTAACTAGGAGGAGTTCAGAAACCTTATTGCTTTTTGAAACATGACATATCTTCCCTTGGATTCATGAACTGGTTATCAATTATCATTCTCAATGGTTGTTTTGGCAGGTTATTCCGCAGTTATCTACTCCAATTGCACTGTTCACGTATTACAACCCAATACTGAAGCGTGGCACGGGGAAATTTATGGCCACTGTAAGAGACACTGGTGTACACGGTGAGACTCAACTGAATTAATAGTTTGACAAATAACATAGTATATCAAAATTACATCGTGCTTCACTACTTTTGGTCAATTTCAAAACATGTTATATGATAAACAATGTCGTAAAAGGCATTGACTGGATCAGGAAACTGTTCCAACTATGTATGCCATGTGTCATACTTAAAAATCAGATTTTTTGGTTTTACTAATTTACTATCATTATAAAAAATGAAAGCATCTCAACACTTTCCTGCCAGATTTTGGCTAAGGTTTCTTATCGGCCAAGTCCACTTAGAAATTACGAATGAAATACAGATTTCTTTGTGTTGTTTTCATTTTTTCTTCCAGTTTCATAGTCAAGATAATATTATTTTCTTTTACATACGTATGCAGGGCTTGTAGTCCCCGATGTTCCTCTGGAGGAGACAAAAATGTTAAGGGAAGAAGCTAAGAAAAATGGAATTGAACTGGTATGCGTACCTTTGAAATTTTCTTGTTCGTTGTTTATGGATTTCAAGTGGATATCCGTATATTGTTGATCATAATAATAGAGAAATAATTGTGCACGGTATTTTACTTTGCAATATGAATTTATAAATATGAAATTAAGACGTTCTTAAGCATAACAAAGGAGGCATGATGATGATTGGACCAATGAAGTTTTGCTATGAAACATAACAGAATTCTCTTTCATAAACAATTAAAATATGATGGTGGTATTTTTGTTTAACATTTTCAAATATGTACACCTTTTTTGTGTGGCTAAATTAATCTTATGTGCACATGGCTATAATTAGTTGATTTGGTATATTTCCTTCTTTGATGTCATCAAGGTACTCCTCACAACACCCACCACTCCGGCAAACCGGATGAAAGCCATTGTTGATGCTGCAGAAGGATTTGTGTATCTTGTAAGAGCTTTTGTCAATCATACTATCTTCTTTTTCTGGCTCTTGTTCTTAGATCTTAAATGAACTTTGGATCTGCTACAGTCTTGTTAGTGTATGGTCTTTGATTTTCTACATGATTTCTTTCTCACTATTTCCAAAAACTGTTAAAATTTGATATCTGCATATTTGTGTTTCACTTATAACAGATAGTTAGTTTAATTGTGTTTATAAGATTAAGATGATTCACCAGCAACTGACTGTCATCCTGCTACTGGAAAGCATATTTGCTCCTGCTTCTAGTCCTGATGAAATCAGAATAATTTCTAGCTTCTCTGTTCATTCTCAAGCATTAAACATGTTCCAATAATTCTTGTTATTGCTGTCTCATCTCTATAGGTGCTAGCGCCAACATCAAAGGAAAAATGCTAATCCCTTAGTTTCCCCTGACAAAATCAGTTTCAATTTTAATTGCATAGTATTTACCAGGATGGAATAGGAAATTTTTGTATGTGACAGACTGACAGCCAACCATGAAATGGACGACCACTTTTACTTTCCTTTGTGAAATGACCATACATAGTTTAGGTTTGTTTAAATGATTTTTTATTAAGTTGTTCAGCTTTTCTTATTTTACTGAACGTTGAAGTCTTCAAACATTTTTTTTATTTTTTTATTTTTTAAGATAAATGAAGAGATTTATTTTCGAACAAATTATTTAGCTCGCATGTAAAATTGGGTTTGGAAATTGACAGTGACTACAAGTCATGTTAGCGTCAAGTTTTGAGAAGTAGAATACACTGAAAACCAAAATATCTCGCGCAACTTTCCTAGATCAATGTGCGACACTGCTAAATGCCATTAACCATTTGTTGATTTAATTTATAGGTGAGCTCCGTGGGGGTAACTGGAGCCCGAGCGTCAGTTAGTGCTAAAGTTCAGGCCCTTCTGCGGGAAATCAAAGAGGTTTGACTCTTCATTCTGAAAAGGGTTTTGGATTGAATGCTGCCAAAATATAATGCAGTTACTGCAGTCATGAGATTGAAGTTACTAGATGAAGATTAAATGGCTCAAATTCTGAATTTATATTTTAAATCCAAATTGCCAAGTTAAAATAATACATTTGCTTTTTATTGAATTGTTTTCCTTTTTCTTTAAAAATTAAGGCAACAACAAAGCCTGTGGCAGTTGGTTTTGGAATATCAACACCTGAACATGTGAAGCAGGCAAGTACTTTGTCCATTTATTTCAGCATGCTTCTACTTGAATTTGGTTAGTAAGTAATTAATCAGTCAAATAATTTTTACAGATAGCGGGATGGGGAGCTGATGGCGTGATTGTTGGCAGTGCAATCGTGAAGGTGCTTGGCGACGCCAAATCTCCCCAAGAAGGATTGAAAGAACTGGAAATTTTCACCCGCTCCTTAAAATCAGCACTTGATTGACATTATGTCTGGTTGAGCACAAACTTATAGTAGTATTTTTGTTGTTGATCCATTCTAGTAGTTGTTGTCTTCATAGATAATGTGATTGAATGAGGATCTGTTCTTTTTTTATTTTATATACAGTTTTGACAAACTATAATAACTAGATGTGAGGGGAGAATTTAAGATTTTAGTTTTAGTTGGAATGAGTTTAAGATGTTGAACAAGTGGCGTTTTGCTAAGATTTTATATCAAGGATTTGTTAGAAAAACTTGCAAAAATGAGTTAATAAATGATGATAAGTGACATATATTGACCAAGTTGCATGTTTAGTTTTGAATAATTCATAAATTTCAGCTATGAAGTTATTTCAATAAGTTTTGGTACCCTGCAACCAAAGAAAAATAGTAGTATTTGATTCCACTTAGACTTTAGAAATTCATACAAGACAAATACCTCGTGACATTAAAGAATTAGTTGTGGGTTTAATACCTAACTTTTAAGAGGGGTAAAGTTATCATCAAATTTTATTAGTGATATATGGATTGAATATGTATAAAATTCAGATTATGAATAGGTGCCTAATAAGTTATGATTCAAACGCATTATCATTCTGAAACTTTTACCACCTTTTTTCTTTGGAATTACAAATGGTGGTCCACTAGATTAAATGAATTGCCCTCTCATTGTTTCTCGAACCCTACCAATAAATACAAAATATTATTTTAAATGTTGTGGCATATTAACATTTGGTATTTTGCTCTCCAGATTTGAGACAATTGATAGATATAGGCATCCACAAGTCAAACTTTCCTTTGTCTTACACACTATGATAAGAAATGTGATTTCTTTGTCTTACACACTATGATAAGAAATGTGATTTGACATAACTCATCTCTATGATGAAGATTGTCTCCATTTAAATACATAATCCGACCACTGATGTGAAATTTTAACAGACTCTTTTGCTAAACACCATCCCTGACTTTCCCAAATTATGCAAGACATTAGAGGTTGCTAACCTCTTCTGAGATGATTTTGGCAATCTCAATACTTCACAAAACAAATATATGGAACTCACTGCTCAAAAATATGGAACTCACTGCTAAAAAATATGAACTCAAACATTTGAGGAGACAGTGAATCGTATTCAGTAGGCAATTGCCACATCATCACAATTTGAATTTTGTCAAGTACATTAAGTTTGACCCAAATCTGCAGTAACCTCGTGCACTCAGCACTCGTCTCATAAATGATAACCTTGCAATTGCATACATGCATGTTTAACAATAACCTTTCATCTCTGTTTTATATATCTTTAGAGGCTGATTATTCTGCACGATTGCTCTTGTTCTCGCAAGAAGGTAATTGCATTGAAATATTCAACACCTGTTTCAAATAAGCATCTTGAACTTGATCTTAAGAGTCATTCATGATTCATCTAACCATCTCCTCCATCCATGACAAGCACGATGCAGCTTGTGTCTTTCTGGTGTTGTAGGACTTGCATCTAAGGCACTTGTGTGCCACAATATGATATCTTACTTCAGATGTTTCCCCGCAGTCGTTGCATAGAATCCAAACCTTGTCACACATGACATACAGATTAAGGGTTTTGGAGGCTAACCACTTTTGCAAAAATAGAAAAATATTATTTGTAAAATTCATATACCATCTTGTTTTGATACATTTCTGGCATAGGTGTTGATGCAACCTGAAATTTTATGATGCAAATTGGTTAAAGGTTATTGCTTATCTGATTAATGAACCAGATAACTACTTAGAAATGAAGTTATTGTAAATTACGATAACTTGGTAAACTAAATTAAGGCGCAAATAAAGACTTGCCTCTTCATCCATTTTCTCCCACACACGCGACATATCACAAAAAGATTTTGAACAAACAGGGCATGAATACCTGCAAAATTGTGAATATTTAAATGAAGATAGAGATGATAATTCTCAACATGCATATATACATTGAAGACCCTTTAGTTGTGTATAGGACTAACTGGAAATGCTGTTGCATTTCTCTCACGCATTCCAAATGTATGGTGTGACCGCATGGCAATACAGTGATGTCTTTCGTTGTATCGAAAAGAAACTGCATAGATAAAAAGAATGGATTAATCAACTTTTACAATCTGAAAAAGAAATCTACCGCGAGAAAATCATGGATCTTGCTCTCCCAATATTACCTCAAAGCAAACCGGGCAATTGTGATGCATTGCTTTTTCAATACAATGGTGTGAATCCTTCATCGACGATGAATAGCAACATTCTACCAACAGTAAGAGATCATGATTCATGACAATTGACACAGGTAAAAAGGTTTGTTGTTTTCAAGAAGCAATGTTCAATGAAAAGCTTACCACATTTGTTACAGTGGAAAAAGTTCTCTTTGCCTCCAGTTCTGTGATTATCATAAAACATAGACCATCAAATTACAAATGATAAAGTGCAGTTATGGTTGCTAAAAAGTAACAATTAGCATTAGTGAATAAGAAAATTTCGGACCTGCATATGCCACATTCATCACAATGGTATTGATTTTTTGATACCTGAAAAACAAAAACAACTACTCAGTTATGCAGAACACAGAGGGAAAAACTAAAAATCTTGTGAATAAAGTGAGACAAAAGAAGCTTACATCGTCATCAAAGAACTTGCATTTCGAGCAGAAGTATCTACCCATGCAAACGCCGCATTGAATACAAATTTGTTGAACCTGCAAAGTACAACAAGAAATTAATTATGATGCACTGATAGTGTGAACCAATCGTAAACCGTCATTTCTATAACACTTACATCTTGCTCTGTGCTACACAAGGAACAGATCACCTGAAAATGAATTGCAGAAACTTTAAGTTAAGCATCATAAAACTTAACTGAAAGAGAAGAAAATTAAGCATGTTTATGACGAACCAAAATAATTATAAAAAAAGCGAAGTTGTTAACAATATAATTGGTAGTTCAAGGTGCGTACCTTGTTAACTTGATGGCGAGGAATGTCGTGGCGGTGTTGAGGATGAAGATGAATCGAATTCTGCGGCGAAGGAAAAGAGTAAAAACGACGTCGTGTGGGAAGAATTAAAAATAAAAGAAGAATAATAATGAGAGGATGTTAAATTAAAGAACCTTAGATTCGTTATGGCAATGTCTGCAATCGAAAATTTCATTGCAACAAGGCGCTAAGATCTTGCATCTCCTTTTATAGTGCGAACAACTGAAATCATAACAATAATAATAATTTCATAAACCAGATTTGTTGATATTTGAAAAAATAAAATAGATTGTTACGAAAAGAGAGAAGGAAATTATGAAATACCCGTAATGTTCAGAATTGATTTCAGATGAAGAGATATCAGCATCAAGATGGTGGTTATGAGGTTCCATATTGATGTTCAAAAATGGAATGGCTTGTGCGAGATTGAGAATGATGAGAGTAGGTAGAAGAAATAAAGTTCGGTCAAAGTAGATAAACTATGGGCGTCACGTCGCCATTGGATTCACAAAATAAAATGACCGAAGAAAGAAAGAAAAACTATAAAATATATGTTGAGTTATTAATCAACTTATTCATATCAAAAGTTATCAATGCAACATTTAACTCTTTTATTTTAAACACATATAAAATAAAAGTTTTGCTATGATAATGTAAAATACATTATCATTGAATAACAATTTAGCAATCATAGAATTAACTTAAAATTTACGGTTCCATATGGTAAAATACGTGAGTGATTGGTTGACAGTGTAAAATAATTTTACACTGTCAATACATATCAATTAAATTCATATCAATTAAATTCATATAATAATACAAATGAATAATGGTGATGAATTGACGGTGTAAAATTTTTATACATTGACAATGCATACTAATTAATCTCTTTAAAAATTTAATTGAAATGCACCGACAATGTAAAACGATTTTATATTGTTAGTTAATAATAGACGTTGGATGTTATGAGAAGTTTGACTTTTATTTTAAATACGTACACTCTCCAATCACTATTATAAGTCATAAAATATTTCTAAATTCATTGAATAAATGATGTATTTGAACATTATTATATATCAGATACATCAATTATTCAATGAACCTAAAAAAATTTGTTATTGTTTATAATAGTGACCATAGGGTGTATAAAGTAATGCAAACGGATAATGGTGATGAATTGACAGTGTAAAACTCTTTACACTGACAATGCATAATAGTTAATCTCTTTAACAATTTAATTGAATTGCACTGACAGTGTAAAACGATTTTACACTCTCAGTTAATAATAGACGTTGGATGTTATGAGAAGTTTGACTTTTATTTTAAACACATAAAATAATGCAAACAGATAATAGTGATAAATTGACGGTGTAAAATTTTTCTCTGGGAGGTCTTTACAGATGAAAACGGTGAGCCTCTTTGCAACGAGCAAGGCAAGGTGAGAGGGCGTCGGGCGCAGAAATTATGTTTCTCCTGGAGCAAGGAGCACTTCACCAGGGAAACCGAGGAGTATATTTCCATGCCAACCATGTTGCATGATGATGACCTGGCTAGCTATGACAAGCTGGTGGCCTTTGTTGATAGTTTCCCCCTGCCTAGTGTGTGACCAGAGGCAGGGATATTATTTTTGAAGATGACGAGGGGGCCATGGTAGAGGCCCGATATATTAACACCAAGGAGCTCCTCGACTGCGACACGCGCAGGGATGCTCTGGAACTTCTGGGTAGCCATTTTTCTTTTTAGCTTGTTCCATTTTGTTGTTTTTCGTTTACTAACATGTGTTCATTGTTTTGCAGGCAAGATGTCGACGACTCAAGAACGTTTGGTAAAAACTGCAGCGGCCAAGGTCAATCAAGGGAGAAAACTCGGCAAAAGCCGCCTTGGCGAGCAGGCTGCCCCGCCTCCGACGAGATCAGGGACCTCTTCATCTGTCGCAGCTACTGTCCAGACTTTCTCGTTACCAGTAAATTCGAGGCACAAGCGCTTTCAGACGAAAGATGTCCTCGACTTGACCGGCGAACAAAATAAAAGCAAGTACGAGTTTCCCCCATGCTTCCACAAGAGGAATTTCTTTGAAGGCCCCTCCCTTACACTCCAACAATGGTCTTGCATAAGAAAATTTTAGATGAATATGAATAATCTGCTCTCAAATTGAATTGTGTGCTTTTGATGGCACTCATGGTGTTACGTAAGGCCCAAATATAATTTTACCCTTCTACTCTTTGGTCATTGAATCAAAATACTATTGCAATTTGGTTAACATTTTACCGGTCTTTAATTTTGTCTAGTTTTAGTTTGGGTATTGAAAGTGTAGTAGATGAGAATGAAAGAAAATCGTCTGGGGGTTTTCACACTGCTACTTGTTCTGCCTGTGAGATGGCAGTTGTTTGGATGCAGACCCAGCTGAAGCAAAATAAGACCCAAGATCAGATATTAACCTATATCAATAATGTGAGTTAGTTGTCTTAGTCCTGCTATTTATAATTACCCATCTTACTTGTCTTAAATATAATGGTGGAAGGATTAATGTGATTAAGAAATTTGTAATTATTAATTATAGCTATATAATTTTTATTAATTATAAATGTGTTCCTTCTTTAATGTATTTATTTCTCACACTTTTATTACTCACATTATTCAATGGACCGTCTAGTAGTACTTACGTAGGAGGACATAAGATAGTAGCAAATAATTTCACAATTTCGCATATGAAAAGAATAAAGAATGTTATTCTTTGGGTAAAACAATATCTTTTTTTCAATTAATACAATATAACTTTCGCTAAAATCGACCAACAAATAAACTTTTTTTAACCCAGAACTACGTGTGCCTTGATTTTTCTACTGAGATACGTAGGAGCAGGATTGCAAAATCTTGTCAAACCCCATAGTAATAAAAACCTTTTTAGGTCTTTTTCTCTTTTATTTTCCCTCTTAATAACTTAAAAAGCCTAACTTTTAAGCCAACACTAACACACACTACTAACCTAACAGTTCTCGTTGAGTACAACAAACGTGAGAGGTACTAATACCTTTCCCTTGTGTAACCGACTCACAGACCCTGATATTAGTTGTCATGATCATATTCTTGTCTTTCTTTTAGGGGTTTATTCGATATTTTCCCTTTCCCTCTATGAGAATAAATAAAGATCGGTGGCGACTCTGTTAAGTCCATCCCGCGAGCGTGTGATTGCGCTTCGTGAGGTCGTTCTCATTTTTCGAGGTACGACACATGCCCTATTTTTTCCATGGGGGAGGCGTCCTGGGGTACTATAGGTCGTAGCCTACAATATATGTTATCTTAGTAGCCATATAGGGACGTGTTTTTCCCTAAAGGTGGTAAGAGATGCTATGGGTTGTAGCATGTGTTATTGGATGGCCGTAGTACCCTCTGTTTTTTATATGGGATGCGATTTTTGTGGTATTATGGAGATGGTTTTTTTTTTTTTTTACCTTGTTTCCATTCTTTTCATTCTCTGACATTTATTTCATCATTTTAAACTTACTCTATGTGAATCTCAATTATTCACCTAAAACAAAATACAAAACATACGAAAAACATACATCATCAATAATAAAATCTTGAGGGATACCTCACACACAACATTTTTGTTTAAAGTGTTCAACTTAACTTTCATACTCTGCAACACTCAAGTAGGCTCTTTTAGAGTCATACATGCCTCTTGCTGCACCATAACTCCAATGATATAGTGTTTCAAATGTTGTTTGTTTATAGAAAATGATCTAGTTGACTCGCTTCAGACTTCAACGGCTCTGTATGGTGTTACCCTTTTCACGTCAAAGAGTACAGACCACCGTGAACGGAGTTTTCCAAGGAAAAGCTTCAACCTGGAGTTAAACAATAATATGAGCTCTCCTATTTTAAACTCCTTTTTTTTTTATAATTTGCTTGTCATGCTAATTTTTGGTCCTCTCTTTATAAAGTTTTGTGTTTTCGTACGCATCAAGCATGTGTTACTCTAACTCACTTAACTGTACCCTTCTCTTGACACATGCAGCTTTGAAATCCATATTAATGGATTTGACAGCCCGATAACCCTTGTGTTCTAGTTCCACAGACAGATGACAAGGTTTCCCATAAATAAGCCTAAATGGTGTGGTTCCTATTGGTGTTTTATAAGCAGTCTGATATGTCCACAATGCATCATCGAGCTTGGTGGCCCAGTCATTCCTAGAGAGAGAGGTTTCATTTTCTAAGATATTTTTAATCTCCCTATTAGAGACTTCTACCAGGCCACTTGTCTACAGATAATAGGGCATTGCAACCCTATATTTCACTCCGTACTTTTTTAGTAGGTTCTTAAACTTCTAAGAAATGAAGTGACACCCTCCATCATTTATGACCAACTTTAATCAAAAGGGAAGCCTTTAATATTTGTATGATCCAAGAAACTAATGTTTAAAGTGTGAGTGTTGATTTGGTTTATTTTTTATGGGGGAATGAGAATGTGGAGTGATCTTTCAAAGGGGCGGTAGGGAGATCAGGAGGTTTACTCATTCTTTGGAAGAAAGGTATGTTTAAGCTTAATTTTAGATTTGTTGGAGAAGGTTTTCTCGGTTTAAATGTTCCCTGGAAGGATTTCAATATTTATTTGGTTAATGTTTACTCATCTTGCTTGATACATAATAAGAAGAAATATTGGAGTCAAATTAGTGAATGCAAAAGTAAATCTCCTAAGGATGATTAGTGTGTGGGTGGTGACTTTAATGCGATTAAAAAAGACGGGAAGATAAAGGGGGCTAAGTCTTTGTTTAATAGGGGGAAATTCTTGACTTTAAGAAGTTTGTTGACAAGTTGGAATTTATAGATGTGCTGGTGGTGGGAAGCAAATTTATGTGGTTTAATTTGGATCACAAAGCTATGAGTAGAATGGATAGATTTAATTTGACGAAGGGATTAATTTCCAAATAGAAGTTTGGAGGTTAAATGGTGGGTAATAGGGAATTTTCCAATCATTTTATGATATTTATCAAAATGAGCTTTGCTAATTGGGGCCCGAAGCCTTTAAATTCTTCAATTGTTGGCTACAACATCTTGACTTCTTGAATTTTATTAGATTTTAGTGGAATTCCTATGGTACCTCAGAGAAGGCTTATTTTGTGTTCAAAGAAAAGTTAAAACTTTTAAAGGGTGATTTAAGATAGTGGAACAAGAATGTCTTCGGTTTTCTGGATCTTGAGGTTGATTTGGCTTGTAAGGAGATGAACACCTTGGATTTCATTGTTGCAGATGATAGGGTTCATAATCTGGATGAGTTGGTCTTTAATAGGGTCGTGGCGGTGGACAATCATTGCATTACAAGCAAAGTATTCTTAGACAAAAGGCAAGGCATAAATGGATTGTGGAGAGAGATGCTAATTCTAGATTATTT